GCATTCATATACAAAGCAAAGCTTTTGTGTACAAACTGAGCATATATATATGGATGTGCTTGTGCACCTGTCCTCCTTAGAGATTTGAGATCATAAGCCAAGTTCAACAAAATCTGGAAAAGGGGTAAGGATCTTAAAGTCATCACAAGTCTTATAAAAATATGCAGCTGGGGAAAGAAGAGAGACCCTCTTGGGTCCCTGCTGAGGGAAAGGCTAATAAGCTCACCCTTGATTAGACATCAGAGAATCCACACAGGAGAGAGCCGCTGGAAACCAGGCTTCATTAGTTCCGCTGCTCACGGAACTACTTGTTAAAAAAAGCAAACAGAAATTCCAACATGTGGCATCATCCTGACACCCACGTTGGGTCATCAGCAATCTTAAGATTCACTGCACAGGCCCCTGCCACTACAGCTAGGACGATACATGACAACAGTGGTGGTTTGTCACCTTTTTCTTTGCCTTAAGAGGGGGCATGAGGTTCTTTGCCAGAGGAGGTCACATTCATCTGCTGACACCAGAGACATGGCAAAATTTAGGAATATTGGGTTGAAGGTTTCTAGGCTATGGAGGGAATGTGGTCATACTTCCTGCCTGACACTTTGAATTTAACTCCCCCTTTGCCTTACAGCCTGTTGCAATCCCCTCTCTCTTGCACCAAGACCCAGGCCCAGCCTCTTTACCCACATTCCCCAGCCTCCTTACCCTCTCCTGCAGCCCATTCTCCCAGTTACCTGACATCTGTCCCCTCTCCTCCATGCTTCTGTTTGTCTGTCAACATCCCATGCTTGTGTCCCCATCTGCTCTACTAATTCTAGGTATCTCCTCATTTTTCAGCCCCTAGGAAATCTGCCTCTTTTCTCCTCCCCTCGCTCCTCATCCTTCATAAGTTACCTCTGTACCACCTCTCCTTTGCAAACAGACTGTCGTGCTATACTCTCCAGTTTGTAGGCTTTAGTCTTTTCTCTCTTCATTTTCAGTTCCCATCTTTGCTCTACCAAGTCTCCAAACTTCCTGGACAAAATCAGCTTCGGGCCTTGCCCATAACTCACTCCTATCCCTACTACATTTGAACCAAGCAGTATCTTCTTGCACCTTGCCTTTGTGCCCATCAGAGGGAGGAGGTTACTGCCAACACTGGGCACGTAAGACTCCGTTCTGAAGCTGAAGGAGCAGCTGTGACTGAAGGAAAAGCACGCTTGGCCTTTCAATGCTAGTCTAGAAGATGCTTATTTACTGCATAGAGAACACACACGTAGCCCAGCCTCATACAGAAACAGAGAGGTTAAGAGTGTATTTATCTGTTCTGTGGAGATAGGCAGTCTGGTTGTGCCTGGAGTCATGCAAGCCTCCAGAAATGTAAAAGAGGATATAATCTTTACATATTTCAACTACCAAACCACAACAGCACTTCACAGCATGCTTGACAGATTTTTTCCAAGCTTACAACTTGGCCAAATTTGACCATATTTTCACAGATACGTGTGAAGCCACAGCCACCAGAATTCAAATCTATTAAAAAAAAAATAAAAAATCACATTTCAAATCTATTAAAAACCACGAGAAGTTCACCAAACAGCTACACTGATTCCAGTATGGGGCAGAAGAAAAGGCTTCCAATGAGACATGTCTGAAAACATACCCACCCAGTGGTATTCACCACCACCACCCAGTGGTATCCAAACCACTGGATCCCCTTGTGTCCCTTATTTCCTCGCTAACGAGGGCCCTCACCCAGCTTCTTCACTCTTCAAGCTCACAACTTTTTCACTGGTGTTCCAGGCTTCAAAGCACAAATTGCAAAACCATACTGCCAACTGGTATTTGTCCTTGCCTTTACAAACTGAGCACTGGAACCAAGCAATGCCTATAAAGAGCTCTCTTCCTCTTGCAAAGAAGAGACTATTTAGATAATTTTTAGTCAGAGAAAGAGAGAACTGATGACTTGGCCCAGATAGGCTGAAGCACCTCTTCAGTCTTGTCCACTGATCACATCACACCACTAACTTCTAAAAGCACACAGGTACAGACACCAAAACAGCACTAAGAAAAAATATTGCTGACTCCAGAACCTACACTCACTCTCTTTTCCTCAGCACCTTTTAAAGTATAAAAAAGCAACCACATGCTTCACGCTGCCAGTATCTTACTAAAAAGACTCTTGATGCCAATTCCATTTTCCACAGAAAAAATGTATACTGTACAAAGGTGTCAGGGAAGAACAACAAAGTCCTGAGAATGCATCCAGACAAGACTGAAGTGACATTATTCATGAAGGAAAATGCTTCACAGGACTGGATTAGATGCTGTCCCCTGCAGGTGCAACCATCCTTCTAATAGCACAAAGCAAAGCACCAAGGACTCTGCCAGACTCACCCTAAAGGGAGATGTCCAAGATCTGCAAGGAACACCAACATTAGCAAAAGCCTCACACCTCTTCTTACAAAGAAAAACCTAGTCACAAGGCTTCCTGCACCACTTTCACAGCAGACTACCCATTCTTTTCTAGAGATGATACAGCAGCAAAACAGCTGCCACTTGCTGGAACAGGAATCTCTACATTCAGAAGAGAACAGGATGAGCTGCAGTACAAATCTCACTTATGAGCTGCAATTCCTTCCAAGTCTGCCTTCCTGTGCTGCCCATTCAAGTCTAATTTACTACATCTATACCAACACACTAGGAGTCACAAATTAGGGAAACAAGCCACCTGCCCAGGCACTCAAGACAAGACAGCTCACAGAGCTCAAAAAGAAACTTAAAACAAAAAAATAACTCAATCTGACAAAATAATCCCAGGCTTTAGGAATCAGGTGTTAAAGAAAAAAGGCACACTGGTCAATAGAGTACAAATCCTTTCAGACATCTGACTAGATTGTCCTCAGTGGATCATCATAAGCATCAGTGAAATCACACAAGCGTAGACATGGGAATACCACAAGTTGCTCCTCCTCCAACCTCGTAAGGGAGCAAGCACAGATGAATCTCTGACAGTCTTAATTTAGCTAGGATTTGTCTGCTAACTGTAGTAATGGGAACCACCCAAATCATCCTTTAGAATGCAGAAGAAACCCAGGAGTCCTCAAAGTTTTAACTTGCATGTCTATTCTTATGTAGATTATGGAGAAGCAACTTTACATTATTTAATAAAGGCTTTATCTCCCACAGCTCCAAGAGAAGACAGTATTGTCCTTTATTTTTTCAACAATTATTTTTAGCTCCAAATTTGCACATGGAAAGCATCAACCAAGGAGAAAATTCCAAGGAGGGCAGAAGTGCTCCTTGGTGATCTTCAATAAACCTCTTGCACCTTAGCTCTGGCTCAGAGGAAGGCCTGGCTTGGGATGGAGCATGGAGGAAGTACCAGAGATGTCAAGCTCAGATTAAACAGAAAGCCAGGAAATCTTCCTGTTTACATGTTCCTACATCTAAACTCATTTGTGTCTCTCCTGTAAAGTCTTTTTCACGAGCTGCTCCACAGACTACGCGTGTTCATAAAGTTTCTGCTGAGTCACTCCATCTGGTCTTGGGCATTTTTTTTCCAAACTTACAAGTAAACAAGGAGCTATAATTAAAGCCTTGGTTCAGCTTTAATTCTAGTGCTCACTGCCAATTGTGTCCCCTGTAAATACATATTTAACAACCTAATTAGCAACCCAGACTGGAAGCAGCTTGAGTAGCATGGAGTTGTGGCTAAGGCCCAAAATAAATGGTGGTATTACAAATAGCAAGCTACCTAACACTCCCACCCCTCTTCACCATCCACTGATTATATTTTAAAAGTGGGAGAACTGGGACATGGAGTAAGAGAACAAAAAAGCTGATCCAAGCTCTGGTTTTCTACCCATTTAACTATATTGATTTAAAAACGAAAACTTTTTTTACATGCTATCATAAAAATAGAAACAGGGCCCGGGGAGATGCACTGACTGTTATGCCTTAATTACAGAAACATAACTAAATCTGGAAAAAAAATTTAAAAAGGGTCTAGGGTGATTCAAGGAAAACTGAGACAGAATCACAAGCACATAGTAGGAAAGTGAGAAGAGCTAGGGACCATTTCCTATTTCTGTTTCCATCTGGGTACTACTTTGCCTCTTACTGATCTTAATCACTCCTCAGAAACACCTATCATTACATCACCCATAGGCTCTCCTGCTTCCCAACTAAGACAGACCACTGCGTTTCCTCCCAAGCACTTGTCTGCTCTGTCCAGTTCCCACCTTTTCTAAAACACCCACCTCCTTATCCTCTGTTAATCCTTAAGTCCTAGTTAATATCGCCCTTTCCCACCACTCACTTGTAAACAAACTCAAGCCACATCCCTCCAAGCTCAGAAACTCAACCTCAGGGCTCAGAACTCTCCCACCTCTTATCTGATACCCTTAGGGCTCAGAAACACCCTTATACCTAATCCAGAAATACCTTTTTTTTTTTTTAAATTCCTGTTTTGTTGGGAATGCTGAAATGGGAGATCACATGGGGCAACCCATACAGGAGCAGACACTACCACCACAGATCGCTTCCTGCTCTGTGTGCCTCCAGTTTATACTCTTTACACTGGGCAGACTGGAGTCCTGTTGGGGAGCTCCCAGGTACACTAGGGCTCTCAACTACACCAGAAGTGCTCCGGTCGCACCAGACAGGACTGCATTCTGCAGTACACCTGCCATACCACTTGGCTGTGGCATCAAGGATATGGTTCAGGCTCTATAACATCCTGGTTATTAGCTAACCTGGCAACAATAACATCTATATATTTAAGAGATCAAGGTAGCCCACTAAGAAGGAGATCCTTAGCTTTGGGTAGACCCACCAGCTTGCAAACATTCCTGATTCTAGAGAAAACTCAGCTCTTTCTGCAGCTGAAAGATTGTCTACTCAGGGCCTCTACAGGGAAATGGCAAGAGATCTCTTCCTCCCCAGGTAACCCTCTGAAGGGTTAAACATGCCCCCATCCTTCTGCAATGTTACAGCCAAGGTTTAACCCCACGGCCCACCTGTATGTCTTGCCATCCTTGTGCTGCTCCTCATCATCCTCATTTGACAGCACAAAGGGATCGCTCATCCCTGGCAGCCCCGACTCCTGCAATCGCTTCTTCTTCCGGCCCCGGGGTGGTTTGGGGGCAACTCCCCCACCCCCTCCACCCCCACCACCTTCGGAGAGGGTGGTTGTTGTCCCTTTCTTGGACAGGTCAGGAACCACCTGGAGGGCTGCCTGGGAGCCAGGGGGTAATGCAGAGACAATCATGGGAGCTGAGATGGGAAAGGTTTGGGCAGAGGAGGCTGTGGTCACCAAGGAACCTGATGGGGAAGTTATGACCAGACCGGGACCTGCAAAAAGAGAGAGAGACAGATAAATTCAGTTATTGCATCTCTAAGTACATCCAACCTCCTTATTCCACAGAATATACACCTACTTTTGACTACCACCCAAACAGAAGAGTAGCCTACACAGTCTCCACAGCTGGAAGTCAAACTTCCATATAGAGAGCAAATGTGTGGAGTACCCAGAGGTTCCCAGTGAAGCCATGCAAAGGCAGTCCACACCATCATTTACAGCTCTAACTGGATTATCCAGGACCCCCCGCCCCGCATTCTCCCAGCCTGGAGTCTCCTTCCTATGTTGCCAAAGTCTTTGGAGTCCCCCTACCTGCTGTCATGAGCCCAGCAGACTGCACTGGTACCACGGTGATGTTCTGAGTCACGGGGGCTTGGCTGTGTGGTGTCAGCTGCTCTGGCTTGGTGTCCGAGTCCATGGAAATACCAGTGGGGAGGGCCACAGAGGTGGGGACTGTCAGCAAGGCAGGGTAGTGGGGAGGAGCCAGGCTGCAGCCCTTCTCTGTGGGCAATAGCTGCTCCTTCATCTTGTTAATAAACATGGTGTTCTCAATCTAAACAGGTGGGAAAAACAGCTTTTACAATACTCTGGCACAGCTTCTCCCAGCAGCTGGCTCAGCAACAAGTGCAACAGGAACATTTATGCATCAATTTCTAAAAGGAAGCAAGACCAGCATAATAGGTGAGAAGACAAAGATCTTACCTGTCCCGAGACGGTGGGCACGGCCGGCCAGAAGTACGGGGAGGAGTTGAAATGAGATTCTTCCATCCTAGCTGGGCACAGGGGGAAAGAGGAAAAGGGAAGGGAAGAGAAAGAGAGGAGAAGGAAGACAGACAGACAGACACACACACAAAAAAAAAGAACATTAAACCCAAAGGGACTCCAACATGGAACTGTCTCAGTCTGATGCTATGACAGTTCCTTAATCTTCCCTGTTTTACTTGAGCAATTTCTCCCCAGTTTTGAGCTACCTGCCCAAATAAAAAAAATATTGTCAGGGGAAAAAGGTGCCTGGTGTTCCCACAGGCTTGGGTCCATCTCAAATGCCTCTGGCCCAGTAGTCCTCCATGCAAAAAAAAGGACTGCCTACAAACCCAGAACATCTCCAAAATTCCCCAGTTACCATCCACCCACATACATGGCATAAAGGATTAAGTCTGTGCATGTGCAACCAAGCAAATACAGCTGAAAACCATTTCTTGCTGCCACAGACAGGCTGACCCCATAAGCAGGGAAAATTTCAGACTTTACCTGTCCCTCCACCCCAGCTCCACACTAAGGACCCAGATGCAGCAAGGGGACATTAGCATTATGTTATACAGGAAGAAAGACAGGCAGAGAGAAGGAAACAGACTTGCCCAAGGTAACAGCCAGCCACAGCAGACCAAAACGTCCAAGTCAGAGCTCCTAACTTCCTGCTGCCCCCTGCTCTGACATCCCAGTCCTGGTCTCAAAAGAAACTCAGAAATATCACTCATTATTCCTGACAGAGAAGATTCCCCACTCTCAGCAAAGGAGACCAGGCAGGGGGAAAATAATCTGAGTACCCTGCTCCTGAGATACCCTATTTCCAAATGAGATGATGGTGTGGCTCTCTCTTGCCCATTTCATTCCCACCTTTGGGACAAGATTCTGTGGGACTGTTTCCAGCCAAGTTCCCAGTGCTCCAACTCAAAGTTCCATGAAGTCAGAGGACCAGACACCACAAGATAGCCCTCTGCAGACTGAGGTATCATCTCTTTAGGAAATCCTGGCTCACAAAGCCCTTTCCTCTAATGCTTTCATTCCTCTGTGTGATAGCACTGGTGGACAAAGTTTGTTACAGCTATTAAAACAATATTCAAAAACTAAAGAAATTCACAAAAGAGTATTTCTTGAAGCAGAAGATGCACCTATTCCTGAAAAAATATGGTAAAGCTAGGAGGTAAAGTATATATATGATAAAATCCATGCTCAGAGAACAACTAGCAGAGCAAGCTGCTTGGAGAAAGCAGTAGGTTTCTCATGCAGCAACCTGCAAATTGTCCCACTCCTAATTCTGTTATGATGTGGCAGTAGTCTAATTAACAAGTAAATATTGCTTCTGAAGGGCCTATCTCAATCATCAGATAAGCTGAGGAGCATGCCCCAAGTAGTATGAAACACTTACTTCCCAGACACATATTAAGGCAGAATAAATACATGTGGAATTGCTGTGTGTGAGCCAAAACGCAAAGATAATTTCCCTCTATGTAGAGCAGCAGTATTCAAATGAACCAAATTACCTGATAATTTTGTTTTTATGAATTGCTCACGCACCAGCAAAGGCAAGTATTCCTGCCTCACTCACTCACTGCAAATCAACCAATAAACACACTTAAGGATGAATTATTTACCTTGCCTCAGTGGCATGTAGTCAGACTGCTAGCTGCCTGACTGAATTACTCTGGATTTACACTGCTGTGATTCAATCAGAATCTGATGGGGCAAGACTCTTACCTTCTTCCTCTGCTTTCTTTTTCTGAGCCAAATTAATTATTAAGTACACTGCCCACAGCTAGGCCCTGTGGATGTGACACTTTAATTACATTACTTCTTTCTTCCACAGGATGGGCACACATGAAGAGATAACACACTCTTGGCAGTTGAGCACCACCTGAATCTAGAGGGGTGTTTGGACTCGAATGTAAAGTTTGGGTTTGGGATTGTTTGTGTTTTTAGAATAGGTAAGCCTTTATTTGCCCAGCTTCCCCATCAAAAACACAAAGTAAACCTGATTTTGTAAAAACTTTGACATCTCCTATAATAATCAGATGCGTTTTCCAAATAAGTTTGTCATTGCCCAAGACTCCCTTGGATTCAACTGCAAACTTCAGGAGTTAAAAGATGCCAATTGAAACAGAAATCTCACAACAGGTTTCTTACTTAAAGAGTACAAGGTATGAAAAGGCAACTCCCAATTCCAGGTTCTAAAATCCAGATCAGTGCAGGTGGGGGCAACTCAGTGGCTGCCTGCCTGCATCCAGCCCCCTGCCAGAACTTCAGAGAGCAGCCAACTTTTGTCTGCTTAGTATGCAAGTCAAAATAAAGCTCTCACTGATTCTTAGAAGATGCCTACACTGGTTTTGTTAAATTCTCTTAGAATCCACCTCCCCAACCGAAAAAAAAAAGCTTCATGCTCGTGTGGAGATCAGGCCTCAAAAACTTTTGGCTTGAAAGGCTGAAGTGTGCTGAAGATATAAGAATGTGGAGAAGGAGAAATGGTGTAAGAGTTGAAGCTTTCATGCAATATGACTAGCAAGCCAGTCTTCCAAAGGGAGAAAACAAAGATAAGGCTCCTCCACCAACCTCCTGCCCTGAGAGCCCCAGCTGTCCCTCCCCTACCCCGCTCTCAGGCTGAAGGGCATTCTGAAGACATGCACCCCCGTTTGCAGCCCCCACTGGAATGCTGCTCACACTTACTTTACCAGAACTCTGCACGTAACCCTTCCAATTGCTCTATAACTACCAGACATGGGCTGGAGCTTCAACCCTGTACGACCGCACGGTCCCACTGCAGTGCCTTCATCATCCCAGCTTCCACAAACAGGCCAGAGATGGGACCTTCTTCCTATCCACCAGTCTAGTACCAGACAGATGTCAACGTACCCTCCTGATACAAACCAAAAACACCTTCTATGTACAGACCACAAATGTACAGACACCAAATAAACAACCAAGTGAACCAGAGAACTCACAAGGGGCAAGGAATCTGGAGTATATACCTCAGAGTGACTTCACAGAATCACATACTTATTGTGCTGGGCTTACACTTCTTTGCAGGTCATCACTTTAATCATAAACAGAGATAAAAGCACGTGCAAGTACACGGTGAGGTAGAGGCTGTGTTTCTGGAAGGCACAATCAAGGTTGGATATGTAGGTATTTAGAGGTTGACTTTTCACAGGGCTTTCTTTACCCTTCAGACACCTAGCTTTTACTGTCTGTTTGTTGTAGGGTTTGCAGTTGATGTGAATCCCTGAATACCAGACTCGGGAATGCTGCTTTATGTCTTCCCAAGACCTTTGTTCAATAAGAAGATGCTTTGAAGCTTAATTGCTGCAAAACACTGAGGATGCTGAAGGCCACGCAGAGGGTGAGGTGAAATGCCAAAACGCCTCCACCACGCTCATAAGCACCAAAAAACCTCAAGTGCCACCACATCTTTAGGACAAGCACGTCTGGCTTCACATCACAAAGATGCTGGACAAAGTCCCCAAATCCCAACCAACCTCGCACAGCAGAGCTGGAGAAACTTGGGTGCCGTCCCCTGCCCCATCGGCAGCCTCCTCCCCTGCGGCAGCAGGTGCCTGGCAGCGGGCACCCCTGCTCCCTCCAGCCCCTCCTCCCGCCCCCCGGAGCCCTTCAAGCCCCCGACAGCGGCTCGTCCC